AGTAAGGGTTGGCAAGCCAGTCGCCCCGGGGTTCGGATCCCCACTAACATTAGTAGCAGCAGCAGCATCAGAGACAGTTGCCATTTCTAAAAAATTACAGCAGAATTTTTACTATTCTGTATTTCCAGAAATCAAACTTAACACTAGAAAATTCCACAATTGGAAATTTAATTCAAAACTAGTCTCACCACGCAACCTAGAATCGAACATGGTCAGGAAAGTTTCCAGGAAGATTGGAGGGGTCACATCGGTCCCACTTAAAACCCAGTTAACCTTAGACAAAACTTTCAAGAGCATGTTGACTCCTAGTCCATGGAAAACAACTTTAAGAATTAAATTTTTCAAGGGATGAACTAGGTTAAACACACCAAGTTCCAAACGGTACAAGCAATTACAATTGCATCACTTTATAAGCAATTATAACAAAATTGCTACAATAATTACAAGCAAATAAAACTTGCTTTACATATTTAGTACAAATTAATCCTTTTTCCCATTCCCATAGGTATTCCTGCAATAAAGAGTTAGCAGCAAAATACAACAAAACTCCCTCAACTTTTCTTTGCTTTTGGCAAAGTAGTGATTGAAGAGGAGGGTATTGGCAAACAAAATAATAAATAACTGTAAGTAAAGATTAAAACTAACCCTTAAGTTACACATCTAGAATTTAAACAAAAAATTATAAAAAATTAATTACATAATAAACGTGTAATTAACTATACAAGTTACAAACCCAAAATTAAATATAATTAAACCATATTTTAAATTGGACTAAACATGTAATTAATTGAGATAAGTTATAAACATTTTATAACTCCTAAACACTTAAATCACATTACTAGGCAAGAATTGTAAATGACATAATTAACATGCAAATAATTCTAGAGAAATTAACATGAATTTAAATATAGGCACGTTATAAACTTTACAACTCCACACCTAAATTAAAAATTAATAGGTACAAGTTACATGAAAATTTACTACCTAATAAACATGTTAGAAATGTAAATTACACTAAAAATTAAACCCGAATGAACATGTAATTTATATTGTAAACTAGAAGCATGTAAACTAGAAGCATGTAAATCTAAAAATACAAGGCATGAACCGGTACACCATAAATTAATAAATTAATTAGAAAATACAGTGAATTAATGTTGCACCAATGGAACTCTTCTTTCCTATTGATAACAGTGGCCTATTACATGCAAAATTATTACACACACACCTATGAATCTATTAATCTAATTCTATGATAAACGTCGAATCTATTTTAAGCTTGTTGGGAAAAACTACTCATATTACATAATTTCACATTGCATATTGCAAAATTATGGGATGAACAAAACAAACCTTTAATCCCATAAAATATTACATGCTGAATAAAATATAGATAAAATATAAAATGGTTAAAGGAAACAAACCGAAGCCTGTATGATATCACAGTCTCCTTAAAATAGATTCGCTGCCTCACCGTTGGGTGCTGGAGGTACGCCAGCGTCTACTTCCTAGGATACGACGGTTTTTACCAGCTACAACAGAAGCACCTTCTGATTAGCTTAGCGAACTAACAATAGCAGCACTCTCTCTCAGGAAGCAAATTATAGGAGAAGTAGTGTTACGACCCCAAACCGCCCCTAGTAATTTGGTGCCGTGATGGCCAGTAATCCGAGATTACCGAAGGCCAACTTTCAAAATTCACACACAATCAGAGTATTACATATGGGGCTAACATGTGCAGAAGCAATATATACAAATCTAATTAGTCCATAAGAGCTGTGCATAAGTCAAATGTAATGGCATACATCTTTACAAACTTTACAACTTGAACACAATTAAAGCCAAGTACAAAATACATATTACATCTTACAAAGGGCTTTCACAAGCCGACATAAACAAAATACACGAAATGCAAGTTAAGAAATATAATCTTTGGATTGCCGACATAAACATTGCCGACATAACATGCATCCAAAACATCTTGCAAAACACACATCTCGGTGTAGCCGACTTCTTGCTTGTTACCTACATATATACATAGGGAGGGTGAGCTTGGATACTCAGTGAATGGTATAAGTAATAAAGGGGTTAAATGAATGATTCCCGAGGTCTTTCAAAACAATACATAATATATCCTTGTCAAAACCATACTTATCATAGCTTATACAAAACATGAGATAAATCTTGTTTATCAAACTTGATCTTGCAAAACTTACATACTTAACATGTGTCAAATCTTATAACATAACCTCGGCATAATGGAGCTCATGTCACTTAGGCCCGTAGCCCGCTATAACACTGTGGAACTCGTGTTACTTAGGCCCGTAGCCCGATTTAATAACATGGAGCTCGTGTTACTTAGGCCCGTAGCCCGCTTTAACAACATGGAGCTCGTGTTACTTAGGCCCGTAGCCCGATTTAACAACATGGTCATTCCAAGAAAGGACCGTATCCTTTTATACTTAGTGCTGCGAAAGTTTAGAGTCTTCCAGCACAAGGGACTATCCGAGAAGGTCATCAAAACTAAACTTACTTGATAACTTGCCATTCAAAACAAAGCTTACTTGATACATAAAATAGGGATATCATTCATGCTTAACAAATACTTTTATCAAAACGAGGCAAAGCTTTATCAAAACCTTAAGAACATAACTTTATTAAAAATACCACTCACTCTAGTTCTTGGGACGTCGGGGTCAAGGCAAGGGTCCAAGTCCTACAAACACATGGCAAAGCATACTGAACATACATCTCAAAACAAGTCTTACAAGCATGCAAATGATCTCGGGAAGACATGTTAAAAATCAAAACACTGTTTTACATGTCGGGAAGACATGCTGGGTACCAACCAGGTCTAAGCCGAGGTCCTACACCTCCTTGCCGAGGTGTGGTCCCGACGGCCTCTTTCAAAAGCAAGGTCGGGAAAACCTGGGTTTCCCTTGAAGAACATAAAGAACATGATGAACACGAAGATCATGAAGAACACGAATGCCAAAATCATAACTTCTTTATTTACAAAATCTGAGATTTCATGCTATGAGTTCGAAAACATGGACCTGGGTACCCATACTTGAAAATTATGTGAAAACAAACACAAAAACATGAATCTTGGCATGAGCTTTCGGATCAAAGCATGACTTTTCTTGAAGAACACATGAATACTATTTTCTCTTTCTAAAACCGAACTTCAAAGCAATGCATGGCTTACAAATCATATCCAATCATGCAAGGCAATAACATGAACATAAAGAACAACGTAGGTAGATCAAGAATCTAACCTTAGAACACGGATCTAACAGTTCAATCTCTAGGGATCAAGCTTGGAAATCCACTCTCCCTCAAGAACTCCTCTTCCTCTCCTAGAGCTTCTCTCTCTTCTTCAAAAACAAGGATATAGAAATGATAGGTTTTCTCTCTCTATCGGTTGGTTTAACACTCAGCTCGGACACGTGGCAACGGCTGGTTGGTTCTCTCCGAAAAGGTGATAGATTGACAAGACAAAACTCTGACAAAGCGTATCTAACAAGCTACTCGGTAAGGCACTCCGGCAAGTGACGACATCGGCTAACAACAAAACTTCGGCAACTAAGGTGACAATGACCTCGGCTAGGAAGGAAAACACTTGACTAAGCTGTGCCACACCTTGGCCTAGATGTGCCACACCTCGGTCTAGGTCATACCACTCCAGGACAAGATCACTCAGGTGCAAAGGTAACATCTCGGCCTAAAGTGTTTTGCTCTGAAAGGATCTCGGCTAATGTTCGTATGGTGTTGGCATGTTTATCCACTGCATGTGATTGACTATTCTAGGACTGAAGTTAATGAGAATTTAGGCTATGAAGAGAAGCCGACGTAACCTAGGCTTGGCATAACATCGGCTAACATAACTTAGGCAAGGCGTGACCTAGGCTTCACATCAAGGAAGGAGCAAATCATGCGAGCAACACTTAGACACTTCACAAAGGCATCAAAACAAGGCATGGACCTTACATACTTAAGCAAAACAAGTCACAAACGTACAAATGCAAGCTTAACAAGTCATAATCATACAGATGCTCGTGAACATGACTAAGACGTAAATGTGGGTCCTTACAAGTAGACTGACAGGGTATGGATGCCAAGAAAAAATTCTCTTTTTTTTTCAAGGAATAGGGCCTCCTTTTATACACCATGGGAGAGAGGGGAGGAGCCTCTAGCCATCAAGGCTGGCAACTAATGCTAGCAAAACTGCCCAATCAATTTTATAAAACTGATGAGCCTTAAATGTGTGAGTTATATACACATTTATGAGGCAATTTCTCATTCAACCATTTTTCTCTAACAGTAATTATATTCCTCAGAGCATACAGTTCCTTCCATGGCATCGCCCTTTGAAAAAATGTAATAAGTACACATTTTTAACATAATATAAAACAAAATATTTAACAATTACCTCATGATAAGAGTTGTAAATACCTGTCCATCAACAAAAATCATTCTGAATGTCATATTTCCCCCAAGACGATTGGTCAAAGATAACAACCTAACTAACTGAGCTTTAACGCTCCAATTACTTGCATATGGATATAAATCAGCAAAATAGGGATGTCTGATAATTCTATCACCTATTAACAATGTAGATGCATATGAGCAAAATATGAATTTATAATTTTATATGACGTATTTATAGATCTCAAGAAATTTGAGAATGAAAATATTAAGAATTTTTAATAAAAAAATTAAAAAAAATGTTAAGTTTACATTATGATAAAACTGAAAAAATAAGTAATGAATTATTATGCAAAAAATATTATACAAACATATTTTGTAAGGATAAGTTTTTTAATTATTTTTATTAAATGAAAATGAAAAAAAAGAAAGAAAGATTAGATCATCCAATTTTTTGTATACTAAATGTAATATTTTGGATAAGATTTAGAATTTAGAGTAGTAAGTATTGTATAATTAAAGAACAAAAAAAATAGTCATTGAAATTTTGAAAAGAAGTTTTATATCAATCTTCAAATGCCATTAAGGATATCACAATATACAACATTTTTTGTGTAATTTGACGGTTGGTCAACTTTATTAACAATCAATATCTTCAAGCTTGATGGTGCAGTAACACGAGATAAAGCAACATATAACTGATCATGGGAGAATACTGGATTAGGAAAGTATACGCCAACTTTTTTTAAAGTCTAACCTTGACTTTTGTTTATGGTCATTGCAAATGTTAATTTTATGGGAAATTATCTTCTTTTAATCGGGGATAGGTGAATGTGTGGTAGATGGTGATAAAATGATACGTGGAATGAAGACTCCTCTCCAATATTCGAACCCGTAATCACTTGTGCCTCAATCACTTTATCTCCCATTTTCTCAACAATAAGACGGGTGCCATTACGTAGACCTTGAGATTGATTGAGATTTCTCAATAGCATTATAGGCGCTCCCTTTTTGAGTTCAAGGCAATGACTTGGAATTCCTGAAAAATTTAATGAGTGCAATAACTCTGGTGGATGCATGCCTTCGTCAATGTTCTCACCCTCAGCTGGACATATCGTATCTACACTTAGGTATTTTCGAGATTCTCCAGGCAACATTGACAGCATTATGACATTTAATTCACCAATATCAGCATTTTTTGGTGCTAAGATGCCACAGTCTTTCAAGTAAGAACTGTCACTGTATCTAGTACTTAATTTTGGATGGATTGCTTGGATCAAATCATGTAAAGCATGTGATCCATTTCTAATCAAGAACTGTTATGGAATTTCAATCCAATTAGTCTCCCCGCCTTCAAGGAAAGAAATTCTAGGTATTTTTCCATCACCAATAATCAATATCCAATTAGCAAAATCCCTTAGTTGTTGACGCATTTGAATAGAAGTATCATTGGTCATAATACGCATATTGGTCCTCAAATATAACACACAACAATGATTCCAAATAGTCGATTCTTTCAATGACACTACAATTGTGGCTTCCCGCCTACCTTTTGGTACTACAGGTAAACTTTGTCTGAAGTCACCACCAAGTATGAATAGTTTTCCACCAAATACACAATCACTTGAACAAAATTCTGTACTCTTTTATATATCTCTGAAAGTACGATCAACTACCTCAAATCCATAATGATAGTGCATTGGAGCTTCATCCCATATGATCAATGATGCCTCTTGAATTAATTTTTCCAATTTAGTCTGTTGATTAATACTACAACTTGAGAATTCATCCAAATTAATTGAAATTTTAAAGCGTGAATGCACAGTTCTACCTCCTAGTAACAGCAAAGCCGCAATTGTAGATGATCCAACTGAAAAGACAATTTTTTTTGTGATCTAAATTTTGCTATTAATGTTTTCTACAGATATGTTTTTCCTGTTCCCCTACTTCCGTAAAGGGAAAATAACCCCTTTGTTTACAATTGTATGCATTCATTATGGTGTCATAAACTTCCACCTGATCACTATTTAAACCATAATGTAATTCATTGAACAATTGTTTTTCTGAAGCACTATCGTACTCCATCTTTTCTATGATGAGCCTATTTGTTACAAATTGAGCACCTTGCGAAGATGGCAATGGCATTGGAGGGAAATCTTTGAGAGATCTTCCATTTCTATTTAATATATGCTCAATTTTGAGAAGTCTTAACTTTTTTAAGTCTTCATTGTCAAGATGTAGATCATTATCTCTCATATCTCTTCTAATTCTATATTGTATATCATCGGTGAAACTTTTCCAATGACATTCCCATAATTTGACTGGATTGGTTATATCAGAAAACATGAGCATTGTACAATACATATGTCGAAGTTTTGTTGTTGATGCCCAATTTGATGCTTCTGCCAATGCCTCGTGCCATTTATTATCATCATTGAGTAGACCAAGTGCAACACATGTAGATTTAAATGTTGTATGCACGACCTCATTTACAATTCGGATATGCTCAACACTGTCTGCACCACGAACCTTATTCAATAAAATTCTCAATTAATATCTCTCACCCGATGTTGGATGTGCATACGGAAATCTACCAATAAGTTTATATTTTTTTCGGACATCCCATTCTTTTTTATCTCTTTTCCATACCCATTTTGTTGAAAATTCAACATAAGTCAACTCTTTTGCAGATTGATGGGTTCTGTTTGCTTTAAACCATTTGGTCAACATTGTGTTATGAACACGTTTTTAGTTAATAACTTCGTGTAGATGATCATTGTCATTAAATATAACAAATTGTTGACCTGAAAGATGATATTGTAAACACTTAACAGAAGGAGTTTGTTTATGAATTTCAAACTCAAATATCCTCCAACACACTTCAATCGCAGACACGTATCGAGCATCCAAATACTATTTGATCTCATTAACTTGTTTGTAATGTCGTTTCCCATTATTGTTTGGATGGATAACATTATCCTTGTCACATGATCAGGCCCTTTGTTAACATATTTGTACAAATATTTCATTAACTTCGGGTGCACACATCGTTCAATATTAATGTTGCAATCATATTGCACTAAAAGATGATGATTATATGGAATGACCCATCTGTTATCAACTATAAATCCATTTATGTTTATTGTGTTGCCCTCATTACATCTGCGCCTGTATGATACAAATCTATTATCATCAATTGTTGTTTCATTACAAAATTACTTTGGATAATGTTTTGTACACTTTCCATCTACCATACATGGAGCATTGGGATTAGCAACACCATAAGGTCCATGTATCATGCATCTGACAACAATCTCATATGCCAATGGGTTTGCATTTTTGTCAGGCAATTCAGCACATATAAACTCATATCAATTTGTTCAGGTGTGATTAGTTTATTCTCCGATGCTAATGTGATTGTAATGTGAGAATGTGACAATTCCCGTTTTTGAAACTCGATGACGTAAATAACTATTCATAAAAATAATTATTGATACATTAGACATTTAAGAGTATTTGTTGTATCATAAATGCATAGGTGTTAGAATAATAATACCTGAAAGTACTTCTCCAAATATTTTATTTTCCTTCAAGTTGGTTAGTAGTTGTGTAAACTTAATTTGAAAAACTCTAGCAACAGTATCAGGTCTATCTTCTGCACATTGATTCGATAGTCTTGGAAGATCAACTTTTATTTCTGGCCATATAGGATTGCATGTGAACGTGATAAACAAATCAGGAGCTCCAATAGTTTTGCAAATTGCCATAGTATCTTCATAACGTTGATCATATTACGTGGCCCCCCAGAGAATGATAAAAGCAACACAAATCTTCTCCCTACTGCTGACGCATCTACATCTTCAGCAACTACAACATCTTCTATTCCTTGATATAGATCTGCACGCAACTCAGCTTGATGGGTCTTGATGTAATTCAATCTAGTTTGCTCAATAGCAGCATAACAGTTAACGACAAATTGTTGAAACAAACGTCCTCCTCTTAAAAGTGTTTTACCTTCAAATTCTCTATGTTGGAGTCTAAATGCATAAAATTCTCTAATTGACACATTGTTTTGAGATCTACTTAAGAATGTATTAAAAGAGATGCCACACCTCCATCCATCTGTACCATATGGAAACAGTAATGGGTACTGTAATGGTACATATGATGGATGTATTTTATTGATTCTTCTTAATATACCATCATTTTTTGAACAATGATGTCACGATGTGTTTCAGTTCCAATACCATCACCAATGATTATCGTCGCAACTTCGTTTGCAGTTGGCCTGATATATTGTTGTTCACCTCTAGAGTTTAAAATACACACATGTAGATTCAATACATTATGATCTCGTAACAAATCTCCAGTACTTTGAAATATTTTCACATAAGGATTAACTGCATTTAACATTTCTTGTAAACCTTCCAATATTGAAAAATTAATGCCTGATTGTAGACGTCCCCGAACGCCCCGGAAGGAACGAGCTCCCGTCCTGTTCATTTTGGGGTCACTACAGCTCAGGACTCTCAAATTTGTCACGGTTCTAAGTCTGAACCAAAGAGTCCAAATCCGGCAAATCGTTTTGAGAAAACAGATATTTGAAAAGAAGTGCCAAACATGGACTGCTTTGCCAGATACAGAGTCGCCACCTAAATGTTTTTTAATGGGAAATTTAGGAAACCCTGACTCGGTGCCAAAGGCCACGTGTCCGTCATCACCAAAGTTGCCTCGGCTCGGGAACTTGGGTACGATTGGGGAAGGTCACTTCGTGAGCACCCCCGCTCGCCCGATCAAAGATCGGCCTCCTACTAACATGATATGTTGCTTCCATAATCCAACTTATAATGATGTAGTCATAAGTGTCAACTTTTATACAAATATGAGAAGAGAATTAATTAAATTATACATTTTAACCAACCACATACTTAAACTTTGACTATTTCAAGATTTTATTTCACTATAATTCCAATTAAGAGAATCTTCAACCCTTAATATATTTTTTTTATCAAATTATAATTTGATAAAAGTTTA